ACATCAGCTTAAACGAAATTGGGTGAATACATCTCATACTACTGATTTACTGGTAGTCACGACAATAATACTTAATTCGAAAAATAAAAAAACTTAGTCGATTGTTATAGCAAATATACATTGTGGGATGAGAACAACTTTTGGGAAAGCAAGGCATTGTGAAATTGAATGTAAACGTCAGCTTAACTCATCATATTGTGGGAAAATTCTTTTTCTACCAGTCCTTCATTACCTTACACGAAATTGTGTGAATACATCTCATATTCACGAATTGCCTTTCTTCCTTGTTTTCAGGGTTTCCTGTACTCCTTCGTCCACCTAACACAGGCCTTGAGCCTCTGGAATGGCGTATTTCCGACGATGGCACGGTACATCGGGGATGGCCCGAGACGACGTCATCTGTAAGTCGTCTTTTTGGAAGCTATTACTCCAAAATTCATTGCAAAAGTGTCGCCAATTCGGTTGGCACTTTTGACGTAAGGCTTTTGTTGATGTCATGAAGAAGAGATGGATTTCGAAGACTGCATTGATGATTTTTTATGATATCACCTTCCAGTTCGAAGGAAAAGTTGGCTGGAAGGAATTCGTGAAATGGTCTGAGCATAAATCGAAGGAGGATTGCTGCCAGGTGAAGACTGTGGAGATTGTGCTAACAAGTCCGATGCTGAAAATCCTCAAGAATGTTGTTGCGCAAAGGACACAGGAGTAGGTACAGCCAAAGAAGACTGTGAACAAACAAAAAGCCACACAATCTTGGTCTTTATATGAACGAATTAGGCAACTTTGGTTGACAACATTCTTATTCGGTAGCTTTTTGTCCTATTTCAGGTACAATATGGTCTCGCTTTTCCTGCTGGCACGTCGGCCCCAACGAAGCAGCTTTCCGCCTTAAAGGGTTTTTCATCATTTTCTTGAAGTATTTTCATAAAAATAAACCCATAATGCCCATTTCCTCTGGCTCTCTCTGTCTCTATTCTGCTCAGAACTGCATTCCCACAATCGCCCAACTAAAGGAGTGTAGTCGTGATTGCTTCTTCAACTCTCCTTCCTCACTTACTTTCTGTCTCGCGCCCTCTCCTCGCTTTTTCCACCCCTTTTCCCTCAGCTCTTGGGTCCCGTTGCTAGTGCTGTATGGCCTGACTGGGCATCTGCCAACGTTGCTCGTCTTCTTCGCCTCAGCCTCCACCTACAAGATGGCCTATTTGCGATGCCATCTCGGCGTCGACTGGGCTCTGCCCTTCATCTTGTTGCCGCGCATCTTCACCAAGTTCACTGTGCCCCGCAGTCTTCCGGTCGCCTTCTACTTCGCACTCACCCTCTTACTCTTCCTCTCTCAGGTAGGAAGTGGTCACTTGGCCAGATGCTCTCTCTGCCCTTGTTTCACAATTGTTGAGCTTACTTCCATTTCGAGTGTAGGTGTGGCGTGAAGCGATTCGAAGGTTGACAGCTGGTCGAGAGGAATCGGCCGTCGTCTTCTGGTGGAACCGACCTTCGAGTCTCTTCACCGCACACTTTCACTCGAAATGGAAGTAAGCTCAACAGATGATCTCTTGCTTGGTCAGGTCCTTTGTGATCTGCTCGAGTAGGAGTTGTCTCATAATAGGGCCTATTGCCTCGGCCCGATTCACCCTTTTAACAATTACTTTTCGTTGATTAATATGTCGTGTCCCTAAGAAAAAAGGTTGTGTGTGTCAATTGACCTATTTTGAAACGGCCGCACACAGTATGGAGAAGCTAACAATAGAAAGACAATCATTTAAAGATGGCGCCAAATAGAACATTTCAAACGTTGCGGGTCACGGCGGAACGGAGAAAGAGAAGGAAAAGAACGTGACCAATTTGAACAAAATGTTAGCTAAAAGTTGTTTAACCTTATTTTTCAAATAAGGTATTGTTCTCGTGACAACCAGTAAATCAGTAGTATGAGATGTATTCACCCAATTTCGTGTAAGGTGATGAAGGACTGGTAGAAGAAGAATTTTCCCACAATCAATTTCACATATCTTTGCTTTCCCAAAAGTTGTTCTCATCCCACAATGTATATTTGCAATAACAATCGACTAAGTTTTTTTATTTTTCGAATTAAGTATTGTTATCGTGACTACAAGTAAATCAGTAGTATGAGATGTATTTACCCAATTTCGTTTAAAGTAATGAAGGTCTGGTAAAAGAAGAATTTTCTCACAATGATATGAATTGAGCTGACGTTTCCAATAAATTTCACATAGCCTTGCTTTCCCAAAAGTTGTTCTCATCCAGGCACCAGTGGACTGCAGTTTCGACC